TCAGCAGGATAACCACTTGCCTTGGAAACTCACCTGCGCTTCATGGCTGCGATTGCGTGAGCTGCCTCTGGGGTTTAATTTTATCTGCAGGATCATTACCGTCATATCTGATACTTGGTTTTTCTCTGAAAACTCAACAGGTTAAATAAATGACATATGCTTCACCAACATAACTGAGTGCTACATTATCATATTCAAAAAGACTAGGTGAGGATACAGGGAAATGTGTGTGAAAATAAGCAGTGCACAAAATGGTATACATGGTATAATCCTAATTTTATTTTTTAAAATGTAAATATACACAGGCAAAAATTTTGAAGGAAATACACGAAATCATTGATCCTGGTTCTAGGGAGTAGGATGGGAATATTAGTGACTTAACTACTTCCAAATGTTCTTCTGAATTTTCTATATTTTCTAGAATGCACGGATGCTGAATTTATAATCAGAAAAATACGAGTTTTATTTTTTACAAAAGAAAGGTAATGCTGAAATTACCCAACACCGATCTCCAGGATTTGGTGCCACTGAAAATCCAAAATTGCCCCTGGCTTACTGGTGTCCTTGGAGGGGTCATTTCTCCTCTTGGGGCTTCTATTTCCTCAACTAAAAACTGAGAGGAATTAATTTTGTCAGTGATTTTCTCAGAACAATTCCTACACATCTCAAAGTTTTTAATACAATTGTAAATTATATTTTCAAATTTGTATTTTATAACCTACTGATGGTTATTGAAATGTAGTTCGTATTATATAATAATCTTATATCCAGCAAACATTTTTAGTTCTAATTTAGTTCTAGGAAGTTTACAGGCTTTCTTGAATTTTCTATGTAAGTAGTCATAGAGTCTGTAAGTAATAACATATGGTATCTTCCTGTCCAGTCTTTATTTCCTTTTCCTTATTTTACTGCACTGACTAAAATCTCCAGCACAATGTTTGAGTAACAATGATGATAGTGACATTTCTATCTTGTTCTTGACTGCTTCTAATATGGCACCATTAAATATGGTGTTTGTTGTAGATTTTTGGTAGATACCCTGTATCAACATAAGGATGTACCATTCTGCTTTATTATGAATGGGTGTTGAATTTTATCAAATGTGAGATTTTCCCCCCTAATGTAATTAAGTACACCATGGATTTTACTATATTAAACTATCCATGCATTCCTTGATGATGTGCTTTTTTTTTCCAATATAGTGCTGGATTTCATTTGCTAATAATTTAGAGTTTTTGTGTCCACATCTATGAATGAGATATGCCTACTATTTTCCTATCTTATTCTCTCTTTGTCTGATTTTGCTATCAAAGTTACATGAGCCTCATAAAATAAGTTAAGGGGGGACTTCCCTGGTGATCCAGTGGTTAAGAATCCGCCTTCCAAGGCAGGGGATGTGGGGTTCAATCCCTGGTTGGGGAACTAAGATCCCACATGCTGCAGGGCAGCTAAGCCCATGCACCACAACTACTGAGCCCGAGCGCTCTAGAGCCCGCATGCCACAATGAAAGATCCGCATACTGCAACAAAGATCCCGCGTGCCGCAACTAAGACCCGAGGCAGCCAAATAAATAAATAATTAATTAAAAAAAATAAATTAGAAATCAGTGTCTACTCACTAGAGCAGCTTCTATAAGATTGGGGTTTTTTTGGGCTTCCCTGGTGGCGCAGTGGTTGAGAGTCCGCCTGCCGATGCAGGGGACACGGGTTCGTGCCCCGGTCCGGGAAGATCCCACATACTGCGGAGCAGCTGGGCCCGTGAGCCATGGCCGCTGAGCCTGTGCGTCCGGAGCCTGTGCTCCTTTCTATAGGATTCTCCTGTAAACCATCTTCGTTTGGGGCTTAGGGGTGAAAAGTGTTTACCCTTAAATAACGACCTACAGCTTTCAATCTGACCTCAGGGCCCACTTCTCCACCTGCATAGCTCTTGTGGGGCCACCAGAAAACTCCTTGTTGCTGAATCCAAAAGACCCTCCTCAGATCTCCCCTCAGGCCTCCCTGCAGTGATGTCACTGACCACACTCTCCTAGGGACAACCTCTTCCCCAAGCCCTGTTCTAGTTTTCCTCCTCCCTCTTAGACTCACAGAGATGCTCCTCCTCTTGCTTTACTCACTCCTTAAGCCCAGGTTTCTGGCCAAGGCCATACTCTCTTCTCCATCTACTCCTCCCTGTGGACTGGCTCAGCCACCTCTGTGGATTCCATTCTTGTTTCTAAGCCCAAAGATTCCCAAGATTCCCAAATCCATAACTCCAGACCTACGGATGCTGCATTTCCTAAAGCCCCTACTACGTGCCAGGCACTATGCTAAGTGCTTTTATCCTCTGGATCAGTCCTCTATTGCTGCATCATAAGTTGTCCCAAAATTTAGAGGCTTAAAACAACAAACCTTTCTTTCTTTTTTGGCTGCACCACACAGCTTGTGGGATCTTAGTTCCCCACCAAGGGATTGAACCCAGTCCCAGGCAGTGGAAATGCCAAGTCCTAACCACTGGACCACCAGGGAATTCCCAACAAACGTTTCTTTTTTTTTTGTTTGTTTGTTTTTTGGCTGCGCGCGGGCTTTCTCTAGTTGTGGCGAGCAGAGGCTACTCTTTGTTAAGGTACTCGGGCTTCTCATTGTGGTGGCTTCTCTTGTTGTGGAGCACGGGCTCTAGGCACACGGGCTTCAGTAGTTGTGGCACTCAGGCTCAGTAGTTGTGGCACATGGGCTTAGTTGCTCCGTGACATGTGGGATCTTCCCGGACCAGGTCTTGAACCTGTGTCCCCTGCATTGGCAGGCAGATTCTTAACCACTGCGCCACCAGGGAAGTCCACCAACAAACGTTTCTTATCTCAGTTTCTGAAGGTCAAGACTCTGGAAGCAGATTAGGTAGGTAGCGGATGTTGCAGTCTAGATGTCAGCTGGGGCTGCAGTCAGCTGAAGGCTTGGCTGGGGCAGGAACATTTGCTGCAAGCTCACTCATGTGGTTTTTCGCAGAATGCAGTAGCTCCTCTTCACATGAGCCTCTCCTGACAACCTGGCAGCTGGCGTCCCCCAAAACAAGCAATCTAACAGAGAAGCCACAATGTCTTTTATAACCCAGCCTTGAAAGTCACATACCCATAGTCTCTTGGTCTCACAGACCAACCCTATTGCAGTGTGGGAGGGTACCACACAAGGACCTGAATACCAGGAGGCGGGGTCATTAGGGGTGATCTTGGAGGCTTCCCACCACACCCTCACAACTATGAAGACGACCCACATCATCCCATGAATACAGGTGAGAAAACGAAGGCAAGGAGAGGTGAAGTCGGTGATCAAGGACACACAGCCAAGTCTGAGAAGAGAGATTTGAACACAGCTCTGCTTGTCTCCCTTCGGGTTTCTCCTCGTTCACAGTCTGTCCCCCGCGATCCACCACCAGCTTCCTCACCTTCAACATGTGCAAACCTGAACCCTCTCGCCTCACCACCCCCAAGCCTCCCAAGTCCCCAGCTCAGCTCAGCAAGTGGTGCCACCATCCTCCCATCTGTCCAAACCAGAAGCTTTGAGTCATGCCTGCTACTACCACCCCCTCACATCCCAGTGCCAGATCACCCAGCCCTTCCAAGTCTTCCTCCTCAGTGCAGCCTGGATTCATCTCTCCTTCCCTCTCTCTCCATCTCCACCACCATCGCGCCGGACCAAGCCACCAAATTGTCCATCCTGGGCATCTGCAGTAGCCCCCTCCTGGCCTCCCTCATTCTCTCTGCTGCCACACTACCCATCCGTCCTCTTCTCTCCACCGTGAGTCACCTTAAAGAACACAAAGCTGGTTGTGTCACCCTCCCTGCTTTAAACTCCTTCAGTGGCTCCCACTGCCTTCAGGATCTGGCCCCTGCCCACTTGTCCAGCCCCCTCCTCTGCACCTCTTCTCTCTTTCAGGACCCCAGCCCCTCTGCCACATTTTGGCATCCAGGACCCGCTGCACATTTTTTCACTTCATGGCCTCCAT